TTTATATTTCGAAACCATTCAGACATTTGTTGAAAATCCATGTTTCTTTTCTTTTTTTATTCAAATCTAAACTAAGGCGCCAATCATTATTATTACGATGTAATTACGTATATCTCAGAAATCAAGGATGCTACAGATGACTTTATCTTATTTACAAGCATATTAAATCATCATTCAACTGTTCCCATCTTAGATTTCTTATTTATTCATCTAATGAGCTATTTAAAAAAATACTAAAATGAGAAGTAAAATTTATTTCCGAACGAAAAAAAAATATTGACATATATCAGTTTCTTTATTTTTGGTATAAATACACTTCTAAATATTCTATTGATTTTCCATAATTAATGTTTTGAGTATTGACCCATAGTTACAGATGCAATATCAACAATACTGGATTGCATACGTCCCCGTAACTTTAGTATAATTTCAGGTGTAAGAAATAAAGCTACTATAGGCACACACATTTCACATAAGTAGCTTATAAAAAGCAAATTAGTTTCAATACTATGAATAGAATAAGAAGGGCTACCGAATGTTGTCATTAATGAAATGATTGAAAGAGGTAACCAAACAAGTGTATACACAAGAGCAATGCCTAACAGTTGTACGATCATTTTCCAATTTTTTGACCAATTTCTTAAATTTCTTTGCATTATCCGTCGTACCCATAAAACACGTATAAGTAAAAGAGATGATCCAAATATAATTATAAATACTGGAAATAATATATTAAATAACCAATTAAATGTTGATAAACCACTGAATCCATCAATACATTGTATGCCACATAAAATTTCATTATACTTTACATTAGAACCACACGAATAAAGAAAACTATTCAATAGATAGAATAGAATTAAATATATATGTATTATCATAAGTGGTATGTAATGAAAAATCAATCTTTGTCGTCGAGAACGAAGAAGATTTGAATAAAATACAAGAATATATCGTTCAAATGTAAACATTGCCACACACCAGATAACAATACTAGTACATGAATAATCAATAAATCGCCAAAAATAACAAAAAGTCAGCGTTTGAATGGTGACATATCCACGAGCATAAAAACTATTAAAGGACAAAAAAATAAACAAAACGAAATAAATTGGATTTATTTTATTTAGTCAGGTGAAGAAATGCAGACAATTTTTGGCTGGAAAACGCGAGAAAATGTTAGAAACTTGGAAGCAGGAATCCAATGGTTGACTCTGTCCTAAACTAGAAAAATCTGTACATCGAACTTCTGCTGCCAACTTTGTATCATTTTTCTGAGTTTTTCAATTGGAAACGACGTCTTTCCGGCGAGTGTCCGTCAGAAATTCACAGATTCAGATGCCGAAGTTACTGATCTGGATGAAATTCTTTTGTTAATCAAATAAAGCTGTTCAATTAGATGAACTAACTACTGTCAACAAAAGTTTTTTTAAATTTATTTAAGAACATACCTCATTGTTATTGAATTATTTAAAAGTATATTCAATAAAACAATACAAACAAGAATAATTAATGTTTGATTTTGAAATCGTTTACGAAATGTTCGAATCCTTATAGCATTATAGATAAAATAAAGAGCACATATAGTTGATGGTATAGCAAATAAAAGTAATAGACTAAATTTAGTAAAACGTTCTTGAATTGAAAGAGAAGTCTCATTCATCTCTGTTGTTTTTTAAAAAAATGTTCGTTTCTATCAATCACTAATCAATTGCAAATATTTTTAAATTCTCAGCAGAATGATTGAACCAAAACTAACAGTCTGTAGTTTTTTCGCATGAGGTTTATATTACAATAATCACTTGATATTTTACAAAGAAAATAAAAAAAGTAAGTTCATAATTAAAATAAAACACTATACTACAATGAATTAGATAGAGAAAGCCATTGATTTTTTTAATTATAATATAATTAATTCTAATTAATAGTTTTAGCTTAAGAACATTCCAGTCATTTTCTTACATCAAGTGATTCTAATATTAAAACACTAGAAAATGAATTTCTACTTCACATAAGTAAAGAGATGCCAGGCTTATCAGGATGTTGAACATGATAATAAGAGATAGATCTAGAGAAAAAAAATTATTAGTTTAATTGTGCTTGACAGACATTCTACAGTATTATAAATAGAAATAGATATAAGAGACTTTGTTCTTAGACTTTACAGATTCTTTTGATTCTGTAAATAAGAAAAACGACTAGGTTTACTGCTATACATAGACATAAAGGTCAAAGATAAGACTTTTTTGTTTTTTGCACTATTTAATATTATTATGGAATTCAACTATCGTCCTTGTAATTTAGCATATTATACAACGTGGTGGTTACCTTCAAAGTCTTCAACTTCAATTCAAACGACAGTATTATCAGCTCAGAATTCAAATAAATTCGATGATGAGTCTATTACTATCCAACAGGTAATTATTTCTATAATAATATATATTTAAAAATATTCTATAAAATTCATTGTTCTAGAATATCCATCGAGATGAATCACAATCAAATTGTTGTATTCCATTTAAAAAATGTCGAATAAAACGATAACTATGTAATATTTATCATAAAAACCATTATTAACGAATTATTTAAATTAGTTTAGTTTATTGTCTTATAAAATAAGAAAGAATAAATTTACGAATTATTTATTTACATAATACAACAATTAGACATTTTAACAATTTAAAAGTGACGATAACCGAATGATGTAATCACAAAAAAAATTTCTATAGAGAATTGATCATCTTGTAAATCTCCTCAAGAGAGGGCATACATCAACACTGGTAATATTTTCAAATTTTCTACTAAGAACTTAGATATTTCTGGAGGAAGTTCAGCCTTCCTCTACTAATGCCACTACAATAATCGATTACTGTTATTGCTCTAGATAGACGAGTCAAATATGTCTTTCTCGTGTTAGTTAAAAACTTGCCTTTTTTTTTGAAATCAAAATCGAATTGTTTCCTTGACTTTTCATTGATGGTAGTTTTTTCTATGTTGATAGAAGTTATTTCCATATCTGACGATTACTATGTGTCATACTATTATCCTAAAAAAACTAATTTTGAATTTTCTATTATTTTTCATAGATTACAGTTTCACTTTCAATAAGATGCATTACTGGCAAATTATTAATAAATTCACCGATTGATTATTTGTCTCAACAAACTTTTCATCGATTCGTTTAATGTAAACTAAACTAAATATTTTGAGAAAAAAAACCTAATAATCATGTTTTAATACACATCGACTAGAGATTGTCTCTTCATCTAAATTGCATGAAGTTTTAATTGGACTTTTTGATAGTAGTTACGAAGTGGAAAAATGATGACGACAATTCATAGAATTAGTCTATAGTTTTATTATCGTATCATCAAGATATCCATTCATCAGATCAGGCTAAAAGCACTGCAGCAATGAGAAAAAATAAGCTGTCTGAAGACAAGCCATCATTTACGGAACAGATAATATGAATGAATATTACTATGTAATGTATGCATATGGCTGTAGATAATAATGAAAGCGAATGAGAAAAATAAATTATTACTGTAGCTGAAAGATTGAAGATAAATACCTGTATAAATCGAATGAAGAACAAACATGGATGTAATACACTTACTATATGAAATAACTGTATAAAAGTATAGTCATTTATTGTTTTGAATAATTCGACTAATATCTTCTCTCATTCTCGAGCAATACAAAGCAGAGATGGAATCGGTTCGGTTCGGTTCGCACCTTTTCAAGCCGATCTCAATTTCGGTTTGATTCAAATTTCGAAACCTGAATCGGTTCCATTTCTGACACGAAGTTCTTGTATTGCATAATTTTTGATTGAAATAACATTTCAAAGTTTTCGTTCATGAACTTCAAAAAGAATATTCGTTATTTGATGTGTATAAATGCCATGTGTGAGTTTCAAATGGCTTTATAGAATTTCGACTATTTATCTAATTTCCTGTCGTATTTTTGACAATCTTTTTATAGTCAAAAGTTCTGCGAAAATTGAAAAAAATTGTCAAAAATTAAGAAGTGCAATTCCGGTTTACCGTTTCAAATATAAGTATGCAATAAATTCAATGAATCTTATTAACATGACTTATTGATAACCATATCATTGTATAGAACATCTATTGTATTATATACGCTAATTATTTTAAAATTTTGTTGTTACTCAATAAACTTGTTTTTCGTTTTTATTTGAATTTTTACACAATAACTTCGAAAAAAAAACGAAAACAAAAATTTTTAATAAATTATGTTTAAATAATTTTTATAAGATTAATAAAAATGACTTTCGTTAATCTTATAGGTTTGAAAACGAGTTTACTCTAGAAAATACATCGGATATTTTTTCAAAAACTTCTACTTGAAAAATAAGTGAAATTAGTATCGCATAAGAGTCTAAATGATTTTTCTCAATAGTCAACGATTTGAACGCCAGTGTATTCTATTGAGAACTAGAACCGGCTGCATTTACAGATCATTACATAAGCACCAATGATTATGCTCATTGCATATGTTGGATCGACAACAAGTTTTCCAATCTACAAGGTATTAATATGACTATCAGTACCAGTATAAAAAGAACTATTGACATGATATAGGCTATGTGGCTTAATGCTATGTATCGACTGACAATAGATAAACGTATATTAAATCAATACAAGTCTCGATCGATTGGAAAAGACTAGAAAATTATTGCTAGTAGAACTAGTTACCATGGTTTTCTCTTCATTGAGAAATATAACATCACAACACTCATCGATATTAGGTGTTAATGAAATACAATTACGTAGTGTTAGATTTTTACTATCAATTATCATTAACTTATTTTTGTTTGTTGCAATATTATAAAAATTTTTATGAAAAGAAATCGTCATTGATATGATATTATTTTCAAAAAAAAATTATGTTTCATTCTTGTGAAATATGTTGAATGAGAAAGATTGTAATAACTGTTATTGTACTCTAACATTATTGAAGATAATAGTACAAGATTTTTCTTTGATTGACATTAGTATGAGTAGTATTTTTTATTTTGTTGTATGAATCCTTTTTCTGACATCGAGTATTGATTAGTGTTGAGAATCGCGCTCCTAATATGGAGTCAATCCGATCGATGGAATAAAAACAAAAAGAAATTGGCAAGTGTGAAGGACACATATAAAAAGACAATGTTTGCGTATGACATCAGTAATCATAATATTTTTTAATTTGCATCTTTTGTTTGAGAATAACATCTCTAATAAATGGAATTTGATTATTATTTACAAAAGTGATCGAGCGAATGATGTAAATAATGACAATAAATAGAATTATACGCTTCTGAAAAACACTTTCCATATGTTTACTATTATTATCGCATATGTATAAAGGAATGAAGAAAGAATAGCCTTGTCTTTCGGTTATCTTGCGGTATCAGATGTTACCGAGCGGCAAATTTAATAGGCCGATATCTTTCCTACAACTATGATTAGTTGTAGCTCTAGACAGAAGGTCGGTCTGATGCAGAATTCTTGCGTTCAATTGCTTAAGCTCTCCATACACACTAACTAACCACAAGAGCAGATGTATATCACAACATAGCCACTCAGTTATAGTGACTCATGTATAATGATGTTCAGCACACGAAGAGGCTAGTCCAACTGTAATCTACCGTTTGAGCTCATATTGGGTCTACAAGAAGGTCTTGGTAAGACTAGAAAAGACCTAAAACAGTTTGTGCCCAAGAACCTCTGAAATCGAGTTATGACCGTTTTAGTGAATTTTCGACCGATTTTTAGGTATTTACTGAAAAACAAATTATGAAATTTTGATTAAAATTTTGCCCATAGATAAATTTAATATTTTTTGAAATATTCTGAAAATATGAATCGAAAGAAAATGTTCCTTTGTCGAGATTTTGAATTTCCAAGTAAACTCCAGTCTTGGGACATGTCTGTGACATGCGACTATTTTTTTTCGGGAAATTCCGTTATTTGATTTTCCAATAAATGCTTAAATAGACCGAAAATCCAGCGAAACGAGCATAAATCGAATCCATAGGAATGAATTCTTTTAAGCTTTTTTTTAGCCTTACCGAGACCTTCTTGTGTAGCCAATATGAGCTCAATCAGTGGGTTACAGTTGGAGCGGTTCCCTCTTTAGGTTATTTTCAAGATTCTCTCACACCCACTCTTTTTCTTTGAAAAACAACTTAAGGGATAAATTAAGTAGATTAAAAATTTTGCATCCTTGGAAGAAAAATACAAAGTATAATGCTTAATAATTTGATAAGACAAAAAAAGAAGATGCTGACAAAGAAATTGCCTGTTAAAAATAGAATGTAATCTTCTGTAATAAAATAGTTTGTTTGAAACTATTAAAAAGAAAATATTTTTATAATGGCAAATATTGGATTCGATGAAGCATAAGAATGAGTCTTCATGAAGAATAAAAAAAACCTTCTTAAAATAATATTCAACTTTTGTTTTTTGTTCGAGTTCAAAAGAAGAATATTGTCTTGAAGAATTAATAAAAATTTTTAAGGGGACTTCCTGCTCTTTCCGGATATTAAATTCAAATGTTTTTTTGATTTTTAGTTTTTTCATTGCTAAAATAGCTGCGAAATATCGTCGGTCAAAATACCGTATACATGAGAGCTGTTCGTTTGTTCGTAAGTGCTTTTCTTAAATCTAACTCTCGAAATTCCTAGCAGAAAAACTCATACTGTAATTATTCTCTGCATGAAAAATTCTCGTAATGATAATTTCTAAAGGTACTGAGAACATGGGTCATGAACCTCTAACACGTCCAATTTTCAATCACTTTAATTGGAGAAAAAAATGTTCTGAAACATACAGGAAAATTTGTTTTTGATTTTTGTCATGTCAAAACGAGTAGTAAACTTTTGTATATATAAAGACTTTTGTTGAAAGCACATTATATTTAATAAAAATTTAGTAACACTTTGTTAAATGATTCCAAAGCCTTTTCCGATGATGCTATACGTTATTCTCTTCATGTTTTCAAGAAATATTACGAGATTCAAGTTGTATCGACAATGGAACATGTCATCAGAAAGAATATTGATAAATAAATTGATTCTTTTTTTTAAAATTTTTATTTAAATTTAGAAGAAAAAAAACGACAACAGTTTTTTCTTGTGAAACACTTCAATTGGTTCTTTCTTGTAGCAGCTGTTTTCTAATACATATATAGATGAAAAAATAATGTTTAAATTTTAGATTTGATATTTGTTAAACATATATTTGACATGTCATAAGTAAACAAATAAGAAACGTTGATTTTTATGTGTATTGATCAGTGAATATTTGTAACATATTTTTCAAATCTTTGTTAATTGGAAGATCATCTGAAATATTAATGATAAATTTCGAAATGATTAAATGATAGATGATCTTGAATCAAAAGATAACAAATGAGGAGTATTTTTCGACGTTAGTGATTGATTTTAAAACATTTCATTATTAAACTATTGTGATGGTTCTTCTATCCACGGAATAATTAGTCGTTTAAATTAGATATATGTCTCGGCAATGTAA